ACTCATCAAACCGGTCGCGCCATCCTCCGACACAGCCGTGCCGATCCTCAACTCCTCCCCCATTCACACGGATATTTATCCTGAATTATCCTCACACCCAGGTCTCGATGTTAGCGTATGTATGACTCACACATCTGAGGTATAAATACACACACACGACACAGCGACGCCAACGTGGTTGAGCTCTGAAGTAAACGGTTGTGTCCACGTCCTCTCTGATCTTTTTCTTCATTGCGGGTATTAGGGAAACTTAATCAGGCCAGGATTAATTCCGTGGCCCTAGTGTGGTTCAACACCACATGCTGGGGCCCACAACAAATTGGCCTTAATTTGATCGTGGCCTTCTCTTTGGTACAGATTCATGACCCGAAGAAAAAGGCAGCGTTCCACTGCAGGCATTGGTGGTTTATGGGCCATTTGATCGCACCAATGAGGCGCACCGACTTTGATCCTGATTGCTGAACGCGAAGTAGAATCGCATTCAGTAGCAGCCTCTGATGAATGGCGTCCAGGTTGCAGGCAATTTAGTTAAACGGAGTAGCATCACAATACCGTCGTCAACTATCCGGAAAATTGCTCTGGCGAGAATACAGGTCGTGCACCTAGGAAACTAAGAGGACTTGGTTAGGCATTGAGATTTTGAAAAACTCTTCTTCAGGGACACATGGAAGAATAATGGTGTCGTGTATTCGACGAAAATTAAATCGTCATTGTTCGAATTACCACAATATAACCGATGTATGGTAGGTCCTATCCTGTCATCAGCACCTACTAGGGTAGGAACCACGATACAGAAACACCCATTATCTACATAACTTGGTAAGTACTTGTCTGTCTACATGCAATATGCTTCTACGTATTGATGCGCCAATTTTTAAACACATGGCGGCACGCATGTGCAAGGCAGACCTTGACCTTGAAACACCTGGCCAGCTTGCAGGACATTTTTGCAATGGCCTTTTTCATTCCGTCATGTTTATTCGTTCCTGTGAATGAAGGAACCAGTAGGACGTTGTGGCTGTGACGCAGTATAAATCAGGTTTGTTAATGCAGTCTCTAACTTCGAGCTTCAGGCTCGGTCGATCTCGTAGGTTTTACGTTCTGCGTGTATTGATTGGCCAAAACCTTTGAAATAGCCAAAATAATGGCAGTATCTGAAACTTGAGAATCACCCTTTTTGAAATTGAAGAAATTGATATGTACAATTGTAATAAGTCACTCGTAGTGAAACATTAGTAACCGTCAGAGAAAATTGCCAGAGGGTCATCCAAGCGAAATTGCTGAGATAACTGACATGTTGATGGTAGATGATATTGGCAGGCACAAATTTCAAAGTACCGACAAATCGTTATCATGTAAGTGGAAGTAGCAAGGTGATTGCGTATCAGTTAAATCAGAGCTGGAGCCATTCGTTTAATAGACGTCTCTATTCAGTTGATTTGTTTGCATGACCACAAGTCAAAGACGCACACCAATGCATGCTCACAACACATTACAACTGTGGAAATCGATCTGGTCTTCATTTATAGGCAAAACTGCACTTTCGCGTCAGCAATTGATCTAGATATCAATAATAGTTCAAGGTTAATGTAGGCTTACAATCAACCACCTGCATCAGCTTTGTGCAGTTGAAACATGGCTGTCTCAAGGGTTGATTTGAACAAAGTACTGAGGATTTGAATATTTCGATGCATAACAGTGCAGTAAACTCTCGTTCTTGTGATTTTTGCGCGCTCTGACATGCACACACACGGTGTCTGCAGGGTATTAAATTTTGGCGCGTGAATCAAATAACAACAGTTGATTTAATTAATTCGAACAAAAACGACAAACCTTTTTTTTCGAAGTGCTGAGCAACAGGGCTATTGAAAAACCTGGCCAACAATTTACGTTTGCGTAAATAAATGTGCCCGATTTATCGAATAGAAGAAATGCTTTCTCCTATTCGCCAATGCAACGTCTCAGTCACACTAGTTCTCCTAAACAGAATTTGTCCACCTGCATGCGCATCGGCTCGGTAGGAAGGCGTGAGCGTAGTTTGTGTAAACAAATGCACACTACGACTCTGTGTTTGATTTCCGCGCGCAAAATTCAAGCCTATAAAGATAAACAATGCGGTCTGGCCTCGATTAAAAAGGGGTAATAACTGCAGTGGAATCTGTGTTTTTGATTACGAGTTGACCTGGAGTTATCGAAAATATAAGTAAGTCAGTTGATGTTTTGAAAACAGAACGATTTATGCAGATGTTCTCCTAAAATTAAGGTTAACTGGAATACTCGTTTTGCAGCTGCTCTGCACAGGATTTCCCCTTTAGCCAATCAAATTGTCCACTGGATTTGTTTATTCTTATTCAATTTTTGTACACTTGGTTAACTGCCGGGTTAAATTAGTTTTCTGGTCTCCTGACAGCTTATTCGTAAGGAGAGAAAGTCCAAATTCGAGGAACGGGAGTGAGGCACTGCCCTGGAAATCATCTGTTTGCACAAAAACGTGGAATTCCGGTGCGTTGTTGATTTCCCCAAACTAGAACAGAAGTAACTTGGGGCTGTAAAAAGTGGCATTTTCGACGGCGTCACCCCACAACAATCCCCCACGTGCAAATGAAAGAGGCTGACAGAATGCTATGAGGCAGTTTGATTTTTAAAAAAATTGAATTTTTTTCCATGTCTTCTTCCCACTGAGTTTATTGGATGCAGCTTCCCAAATAATCTAATGGTCATGCATGTTGTGGGATTAGTTTTACGAAATTGGAAAAAGCACACTGACTGCAATTCAAATCAAGTTCCCATAGTTCGTCCAAAAATTCTTAATTTTTATTTCCTCATGTCTCTTCTCAGCCCTCAACCCCCCTGACCACCCCGCGTAATTTTGAGAAATTTTGCCACCTATTCAAGTCTACCGGTAGCAGGTATCTACTTCGAATCGGGCATAATTTCCTAGATAACTTTTTTGAAAAGGAGAAGATTTCTTGCTCACAATCGTGGAGTGCAACTTGATTCCAGCCGTTCAAACCACAGACACAGCATTCAACGACCCATCATCCTGTTAAAACTCTTCATTGGTATTCAAAACTAACTCGCTAACTTGTCTGGTTCCTGTTTCGTATGAATCAAGGGTGATTCAAAAGTAACCAGATACTCGTAATTTAAACGAAAATATTTTATTGAAATTCAGGCATTACTAATGAAAATAAGGCGGAAATAATTTTGAGCACAAACATAGAAGGTGCTCGAAATGCGTACACCGCTAACCGATGCACACTGAAGTTTTAAATGTGTAGTTATTATCCAGTTAATTTTGACTGGCTCTGATTCGCCGGGTATTCTTTTGAATTCCTATTGAATGTAAATTGTTAATGACTAATATCGACACCCTTGATTGGTTCTGAACCAACAGAAAAAAAATTAAACTTACTGCAAACCGCTAGACTTTTATTAAGTGGAGATCATTGTGGCCGAGGATTTTTGCATAAAGGAGCCACATATCAACAAAACCAAAGCTTACCTAGCGTGCACACAATGTGCAAAATTATTACTTTTTATAAATAAAAAAATATCAAATGAATTATGACTAAATGGGGAGATTGAGTAGTTCCTGCCGAAAGGTTTACGAAGTAGGTGATTGATATGGCGGGCAGATCGATTAATCAGACTGAGTGCAATTGGTAATTGGAGTACACGGTCTTATCACACGTGACCAGATGCGGTGCCGAATCAAAACAAAACCCCCAACCGTTTGTTGTTGCTGTATTGAGAATTCCTGCAATCACTTCACGAGTTTTTGGTGAACACATTTTTGCATTCGATGTTGATGTGTTTGTGAAGAAATTGGCGTTTTCGACACGCAATCAGCCTCGTATTCAGTAGATTGCTGCACGAATAAGCGAGAGGCGCCCGTAAGTGGTTGAACCAATTAAAAAGCGCGCATTTGACCAGA